CGTTCTTTCCCCCTGTGGTTCTCGCCCCAGGGCATTATTCTCTCCTGCGGCCTAATCCTTTATCTCGTCTCACTTCGGATTTCTCTGTTGTGCACAGTTCGTCCATATTCAGTCTCCCGAGTGATGGGAAGTTATTCGGGACTCACCAGTCCCGACACAGTCCCCCACTCTTTCGCGATGTCCTCATCGTGCACCAATATCTTGTCAGTGAGTTTTGGAGGGAATAGATGAGAGAAGGAGATGAGGTATCATGGATGGTTAGTTTGCCAGGGTCCGTTTCGTTCTTTTCCCATTCCTTTCTCAATGTTTTTCTTAGTTTCCGCCCCTTGGGGTGGAGGAGGTTATGGTGGAGTCGAAGGTTCTACAACTTAGACCAGGTTGCTCATTTTTGTCATAGCTCTGCCTCTTTATCTTTCCCTCAATTGAGGTGCAAACTTCCTCTTCAGTCAACTCTGTATACCCAGCAGGTCAGACCATAATTCTTTCAACTTCAGTAACATGAAGCAGACGGGACTCTTTTCGCTTCATGCACTTAACTATTGGTATGCTGGCTTTATTCCCAGGATGACAATTCGTTGTCATAACACAATTGGTTTTCTCATTCTATGCCTTGGCTTTGTTGATAACAAATTGTAGGCGAGTTTTCGGATGCGACTCAATGTCAGGCATTTGCTCCGAAAGGGAGATGTTCATCCAGTACAACCGTCGCCTTTGCTGTGGTGATACCCACTTCGAAGCAGTGAGCCCAGGCACAACTCCCCTTAAGTGCTTCGTGATCTTAAATCTATCTTCCAATTTCCTTGAGAAAACATTCTCGAGCAGAAATCATTTTGGTTTCGTCACATTCATTACTCTTAGAGTCGTTAAAAAAAATAATCTACTTTTCGGCCCGTGCAATCCATGTTCTCCCGTCATTCTTTCCTCAGTCTCATGCTTAGCCAGTTCCCATGTATCTTTCCCATGTCTTTTGCCCAGCTTATGCGTGTCACCCTCATTCGTCCTTTCTCATATCCAGGCTTTAAAATGCGCGTTACTTAATCCCTCTTATCCATATCTCTCTTCTGGCCTCTTGCCAGGCTTCTCTCATACTCATATACCTGTATCTCTTTTCTGGGCGTCTTGCCAGATTTTTCCTTAGGTCTACGCAAAACCAATTTCACATATCTTTCTTTTTTGAACATCCTGCCAGGCCTTCTCTCAAGCCCATGCTAGGTCAAATACTCATTCATTTCTCTCCTGGACATCTCGTCAGGTCTCTTCTCAAGCTCATGCGGAGTCATTCACACATTTTTTCCTCAGTTGGACACCCTGCCAGGCCTTTTCTCAAGCTCATGCAACGTCAATTTTTCATCCGTTTCTCTTCCGGACATCTTGCCAGACCTTTTCTCAAGCCTGCGCAAAGTCAATTACTCATCCATTCTTTTCTTTTGGACATCTTGCCAGGCCTTTTCTCAAGCCTGCGCAAAGTGAATTACTCATCCATTCTTTTCTTCTGGACATCTTGCCAGGCCTTTTCTCAAGCTTGCGCAAAGTCAATTACTCATCCATTCTTGCACGCTTTTTCTTCGGATCAAACGCTCATGGTAACATTCTCTTTTGCACGTTTTTTCTCATCGGTAGATTGCACACCTTCCCCCCACTCAAAATGCGATGTCCCCATCGCACGACTAGTTCACACTCGGAGGTACGCAGACCTTGGCCCACCAACTGAGTAGACGGATGCTGGCCCATCAGCCCCAAAAAGGAAGGGTGACCAGTCCTCCCCCTGCTGATAACTCACCTCATCCCCTACTCCAGTTCGACCTTTTGTTGCTTACGAGACGGGCGTCATTACTGAGGTACCACCCCACATCTGGAAGGTAGGTCCAGTCCAAGCCTCCCAGGACCCCCTCTTGCCGTAAGTGCCTTCTCGCGAATGGTTCCTCCCGAGCGGTGTCTTCTTGGATCCGGCCTCTTCCTTTCAAGAGAGTTGGGGCTCTCTATTAGTCTGCGAGTGCAGTTACGAAGACCTCGCGGTTAGTCCCGGAACGGTTGTAATGATCCGGCAGGGCGGTGTCACTCGCCCTGTGGTGGTTGCGGCTTCCACCTGTTACCACGCCCGATTCCTCCCTCTGGACAGTGCTGCTCAACTTAACGCGAGCAGCCGTGGTCCATTCCAAACGGTCGTGTCGCCCCTCTACGGCATGGCCTGTGGTTGGGGAGAAAAAAAATGAGACTTAGGAAAAAGAATGGCTCTCTCGCCTGATTGGCACCACGCCCTTGACGTTTAGGTTTCAACATGAGGCGCAGTTTGAACTCCCCGACTAGAGCTCGTTGTCGGGGTTAGTTCCAGACGGCTAGCATCAATCAAAGAGAGAGGTGCTTTGGTCCTTCAACCCTTATTCCTTCTTACGAGGAGCAGGTCGCGCTGAGACGTTTCCCTAAACGGGTAGAGGTCTTGGGGTCGCGATGCAGGCATTGCTATCCCCCTTATGTTGAGACCTGAGACTAGAAAAAAAGAAAGATCAATCTCTTGCTATTTCCATGGTCGGCCCGACGACCTTTCGTTAAGTTGCCTAAGGTCCCCTGGCTATGCAATGCAATATTCAATCTTCAAACACTCAATCCCATGCTATTTCCAAGGCTGATTCTCATGGCTGGTCCGACAGCCTCTCATCAACAAGGCCACCCACATGGCCGGTCTGGCGGCCATTCTCTCAATAACCATTTCTCAAGACTGACCCTTCCGCCCATTCAATCCTCAATTCTCTCATTTTTCAACACCCAATCTCTGTGACCGTCCCAACGGTCCCTGCCCTTCTTGGCTTTAGGGTTCCACCTTCTTTATCCTGTCCTTCTTATTCACATCTTTCTTTCGCCCCCTTGGCTATTTCAGCGGCCGACCCACCGGCCTTTTCCATCTCTTCCGTCCATCCCATTGGCTATTTCAATGACCGACCCACCGGCCTTTTCCATCTCTTTCGTCCATCCATTGGCTATTTCAACGACCGACCCACCGACATTTTCCATNATTGGCTATTTCAACGACCGACCCACCGACATTTTCCATCTCTTTCATCCATCCATTGGCTATTTCAATGACCGACCCACCGGCCTTTTCCATCTTTTATTGCTCTTTCCAGCACAATCTTAATCAACCTTCCTCAATCAACCTTTCTCAATCAAATATGCAGGGGACCCAGTGCCTATTTCAAAAGGAACGACCCTTGTCAGGGGTCATTCCCGAACAACCTGGTTAGGGTCATTCTTATCCATTCTCAAGTCGAACAGGCTGGTTAGGGCCGTTCTTTTCCATTCTCAAGTCGAACAGCTTGGTTAGGGCCATTTTTTTCCATTCTTAAGTCGAACAGCCTGGTCAGGGTCATTCCTTTCCATTCTCAAGTCGAACAGCCTGGTTAGGGCCATTCCTTTCCATTCTCAATGTTAGTGCCCGAGGGGGTGGGCCTCGAGGGTACGGATCCCATTTCTGTCTTGGAGGTTAGAAGGTGGTCATCTCATCTCAGTTTTGTTTTGCTTGTTGTTTCCTTTTCTTCCATTTCTCTTAGTAATGTACTAGCCATGCGTACATCCGACGTAGCGTCTAGTACTCGAGTTGGGGCTCGCGACCCCAAGCAACACTAGCCCACCCGGTTGTTCATCCATAACAAAAGACAAGAGCGCCCCTTCCATTTTCACTCTTCCTGATCACTCAGGTTTCGGCTATTCTCAGACTCATTCATGACTCAACTGGATTAGGCTCCTAGGGAAGGAGTGTTCTTCACGCCCCTTAACCCATAGGTTCCCTAACCTCTCTTGACCAGCATTCAATGCCTTGCTTTGCTCGTCAATCCGTACTCAAAATTTCTTTCCTTAAAAGGCATAATCCTCATTCCATCCAAATTTCACAATACACCCTTCCCAACTGGTCTCATCCCATGCCCCATGTCCTTGTCTTGTGTACCCACTTTCGAAGGTAGCTCATCCAAAAGTAACCTCAATATGCTATCTTTTAATTTTATCACGACACAATCTTAGTTGGCCCTTCCATCACTCATCCTTTGCAAGCTCACTCATACTATACACATTCTGCTCCAATATTTTGTGATTGAGAAATAAAACCAGGATTCTTGCCCAACACTCAATCAGCATCTAATGCCTATTGTTGTCCTGTGCCTCAACTTGCTTGTTTCCTGGTCCACCCTGTTCCTCAACCGGTTGTCTAACCCCCAGGCCGAAGGTCTCGATTTCTCTCCTTATCCTTACAATTTTCCGTAACTCTTCCTCGTTAAAAAAATCCAGTGCTGTGGATTTCACCCCTGCCCTTGCGAGTTTTCGAGTCTTGATAATTCATTCGTGCCTGATCACATTGGTCCATTGCTGAAACCAATGACTGGGTGTCGGCCCAAACTCGTCCTCCCATCTGAAAGCCGCATCGCCGGGCTGGTGCATCGGAGGTCGCCCCTCTTCCCGAGGCCTCGAGATCTCATCCCTCTCATCCCTCTCATCCCCGCTGCTGATTTCTATGACCTCTCGCACATCTTCCTCCTCGTCCTTCTCATTTTCTGTCTGTATGGGGCTATACCCACCTGCAAGGTTCTTCGGATCGTAGGTAAAAGGAATCTTTGTATTCGTCTCACACCCCTCACAGTTGTCGTGGCCGCTTCGTCCTTCAAGCGGGCTTTCCCTTCTTTCCTCACCCTCCTCATGTTCGTCGCGCACGTCTTGTCCCCCCTCGCTTTCCCCATGCCAAGTCTCACGTCGTTCGCCCCTATTGGCCCCTTCCTCATTAGGGACCTGAACCTTATCTCCCATATCCGCATTGCCTCTTTCTTCCACTTCTGCCTTTTCCTTCCCTCCCTCACTGTCAGACGAGATTTCTATACCTTCTCCCTTGCGGAGGGGTGAGGGTTTCCTACACAAGCATTTCCTTCCTCCCCTGCCTACCACTGGCCCACCCATGAGTCCTATATACAACTTTCTCTTTGTTGCTCTCCTACCTTGGCTTGGTCCTACTCCCTCCCCTCCGGTAGGCCTGTTGATTGCCCCGCTGTCATTTTCGTCACCGAACTCCATCTTCTCTTTTCTTTTAGACCCTGTATAACAAAACAACACCCGCAAAGCTCCTCATGCACCCATTCCCCCAGTCTGGTAGGTAGTCCCCCCCCTTTTCCCCGAATGCTATTAACATTCTTCGCAGCATACCCCTATTATACATGCGAATGCGTCGTTTGTGATGACCCCATTTTTTTATTTTTTATTTTTTTTTCAGTCAAAGACTATGGTACAGTGCCCCATACATCCCTTCCCGTTGTCACACAAGCCAGATATTGCAAACCCCCAAGTCACGCTGCCTTTCAACCTCAGTCAGTTAAAGCCAAAGCGCCAGTCCCCAAAAAAATGACAGTCCCATGAACATGGTCAGAGACAAACCATAGTGTACGCAAGGCTGTGGTCAGTCTTTAGCTTGTGGCTCCTCAGTTTCCTTATCTTTGGCCTCCTGAAGCCATTGTTCCACTGGGTCCCGACTTAGAAACCTGACCAATCGTTGCCCCGGGAAGGGGCCTTTCTATCCAGTTCCATCCAAATCTTCCAGTTCGAAGGTGTTCTGTCCCACCCGCTTGGCGACCTGGTAGGGGCCTTTGAACCTCCTTCCCAGCTGTCCCGACCAAGTACTTTCTAGTGCCGAGTTCCTTAACAATACCAACTCTCCAACTTGAAGTGGCTCCTTTCTGACATTCTTAACCTGGTCCCACCTTGTTTTGTCCCTCATTCTGTTGTCCAGTACCCAGTTGGCGATGGCTTCCATGACCTCCTCGTTCTTAAGGATTTGTTGACATCTTGCCTCGATTAACTCTTGAGTGGTCATTTGCGGATCATCATCTAACCTATTCCAGGTAGGTACCAAGGCTTCCACAGGAAAGTCGATCTCTCTTCCGTACCAAAGCTCTGTCGGGATACATCCTGTTGTCCTTTTAGGGGTCATATTCTCTGCAAAGACAGCCTGCTTAAGATACCTAGGCCAGTTCCCCAGATGGTCTGCAGCGAGCTTTGCAATCGTGTTCTTCAAGGTTCGGTGCCCCCTTTCCACAGGTGCATTGGCCTCAGGGTGATACGGCTCGATGAGTTTGATCGGTACGCAGAGTCTCTTAAGCATCCCCAATACTTCTTGGTTCACAAACTCCGTCCCATTGCTTGCTATAAACCTCCTGACGAACGGATGCCTTAAGTAGAAGTCTTCTATCCAGTCTGCCTCACTCCTCCCTGTCTTTTTTTTTAGGGCGACCGCCTCCACGAACCCACTCAAGTTGTCTCGCACATCCAAGATATACCTGTACCCATCCGCTGATACAGGCATGACCGCAAGGTTGAGGTGGACCAGATGTCCCGACCCTAGCACCCGTGTTGGTCTAAGCGGCTCGAARACCCGCACCGAGCTTCGTTCTTGGCAAATAAGGCAAGTCTGGCAGTATATGGCGACCATGCCTGCCATGCCTGGCCAATAATAGAGTGGCGTCATCTTTGCAAGCGTTCCTTTGGACGACCGATGACCTCCAGCCAACCCATCGTGCATTGCCTGGATAACGTCTACTTGCCTAGATCTTCCTCACACAACCCTTCTGGGCATAGCATCTTCCTCCCTCCGGAACAAATGCCCGCCCCTTAGGACGTACCTTTCGGCTTCTTCTCTTGCTTTAATACTGACTTCCATAGGTTGTTTGTTTTCTACCAGCAACAACCCGATCCCCCGAAAGAGTCCTTCGTATGATTGGACATAGAAAAACTCCTCCCCTTCCTGGCCCCCATCCTTTCCTTCCTGCATCTGATTTACCACCCATTGCAATTCCTTCCTTTCCCAAGATTCCACTAAGCTCATTACTGCTTCCCGGCCTCCCTCGACTGCCATTGATATCAGTTCATCTTTTGGCCCTACTATCGCTCCCCATGAGTCCTTTTCTTCTCTGCGTCCTCGAGTGGTGACTGGTCCCTCTCTAAGTTCCGCTACTACGGCAGGTGCCCCCTTCTCCAAAGTCCGGATCAATAGCTCTCCCGATGTGCATTCTTCGCTCATCATTTCGTTATCCACCGCAAGAGTCCTTCCTTCATAACGCATCTATGGATTCCTCATCCTCCACCCCTTCGGGAGTGATGCAGACCCGACTCAGCCCATCAACCTTGTTCCTAATTCCCGCAATCCGTTCGATCTTATAATCGAACCGACAGATAAATCCTACCCATCTCCGCACCGTCGGATCTATAGGCCTGTAATTCTTTAAGGCCCCTGCAACATTCGTTGGATCGATCCTAAGGATGAACCGCCTCCCAAATAGGTAGGCCTGAAAGGTCTCAAGGAAGTGCAAGATGGCTAGGACCTCCTTCTTGAACTGCGAGTACCGCCGCTCCGCGGAGTTCAGGGTTCTACTTTCAAACCTAATCGGCCTCTCTTTTCCTCCCTCATCCTTTTGAATCAACACGCCTCCTACGGCCAAAGGTCCTCCATCCGTCTCTAGGATGAAGGGTCGTCCTACTTCGTCATTGAAACAAGGTGCGGACAGGGCGAACGCCTCAGATGTCAATATGTCCTTGAGCTTTTGGACGACTCCTTCTCGCTCCTCCGTCCAATCCATGGTTCCTTCCTCCCTGATCATAGCCCAGATAGGCTCCGCAATTTTGGCAAAATTCTTAATGAAGATCCTTCAGAAACCGACCACGCCTAGGAATGCTCTCACTTCCGTTGTAGTGCGCAGGGGGGTTGGCCACTGCGATATCTTGTCCGTTTTCGCCGAATCCGGCTTCCTACCGTAAGCACCGCAGCGAAATCCTAGTATGGTTACTTCTGGTACTGCTAGAATACTCTTTGGTCCACTAGCCGCGATGTTGTATACTAGGAACCGGCGGAGCAAGTCCTCGATGTCTTGTAGATGGTCCCATACAAACTTTCGGATCCCTGGTTGGACTTCTGTCTCGTCCTTCTCCTGCGCGCCTTTGATCGGATTGTCGTCGATATAGGGCTCACACTTTTCTGGAAACATGTCCCCGGTGTCGGGGCCGTTCCCTGAAGGACTTTCGAGCCTTGGTCGACCCCACTACGGGTCCCACTTGGCTCGACCCGCCTACGCTCACTCTCAGGGCGCGGGTCGTTCGTCCCAGGGGCACCCCCACCTAATACTATGAGATGGATGGGGTTGGGCCAATAGGGCGAGAGAGCTTAACATTGGGGATGTAGCTCAGCCCTCTAGCCGGGTGGTAGCCTCACTGGTCTCGGTCCGCAGGCGTAAGGTTTTTAATTCTCTGTTTGTCTTACCAGGCAATTGCTCCTTCCAATACTCAGGCAGTCCAGGGAGGTTCATTGAGAGCTTTCTCTTCTTTACAGTGCGTAGGCTAAGCGTTCTCCTTAGGCCTCGCACTCCTTCACTAACGGCCCTAGTTTCCTATAGCATCATCGGGGCGGCTCGTCCCTTTGCCCCTAGTCCCTATCTTCCCTCTGGTCGGCCTACGCATACATTTCCCAGGTCTCGTGACCGCCCTTAGTCCTTCCAGGCGGTCCTACGAAACTCGCGACCCAGCCACAACCACACATCACGGCAAGGTCAGGCTCCAACCCCATCCCCGACCCTTAGTCTTTTCAGGTCGCGCTAGTCACGCAATCGTCAAAGCCCAAAGTCCATCCCGGCCGTTCGAGATTCAAACCCCCTTCTCCTCATTACGGTCCCATGTCGCACAATCCCTTCATTGCCAG